ATTTCTAAATCCGTTGAACTAGTCAATATTGTATTACAATAAACAGTGTTTATGTGAACACCGTTTTTATGAACTCAATTTTAGCAGTACCTGTTCAAGTGAACTGTATCCTGAATTAAATTCTCTTATGTGAACGTAAGCTCCTAATAAATGGACGAAAAATCATAGTCAGTGATTAGTCATAGTCAGCCCAATTATAATTGGAGTCATCTTTTTACCTACTACTGACTATGATTTTTTTATATATTTGAACAATTTCATATATGAACAGTTGATTATGTGAACTATCTTGACTCCCAACAGATTCATATAAATGGACTCTACCCAAAATATTATAACACATATTCCGCGCACGATATCTGTACCACTAGAAACTTTCACTGACTGCCGAACTATCAGTGCAAGACATTCTATAGAATACAAATAATTTAGTACTGTGTCACCTACATATTAATGTTTTTTTAAATCTACATCAAAGTGTATCAATTTTTCACTCGTTCGCAGTTCTTGTCACTTTTATCTGCACAAGATGAAGGCGATAATTCTTCTCGTCACTTCTATTTAATTTGCAACGTTAAACTTCATCGTAGTTTGTTTGTTAGTTTGCTGTTCCTAATGGCTTAAGATTCTTGAAAAAAAATCTCCCTGTTAAATTACTACATTTAGTTTATCTCTATAAGATTATTATAAGAAATATTACGTGCAAACTATTTTCTTAAAAAAATTTATGTGGAGGAGAAATGCGGTTTCTTAAAAGAATCAATTATACATTTCCTTGGTAATCTTTATTTAACCTATTGTTCAGTTCATTTCAAAACGTAAAATGAAGAAACATGAATTTCCTGGCAGAACTGTTAAGCTTGTCGTTTATTCCATTGTAAAATTCAAAGCGAAGAAAAATTTATTTCCCAGAGAAATCAAGCCGCTGCGTAAACTCTGTAGTCGTTTGTTAAGTTTTATTCGATGTCCTAAACATATATCTTAGAAATCGGTTGTTTATAAATTATAGCACGACGCATGCAGCACATGCTTTCCAGAAGTTAATAAAGACGGAAGCGAACGGTTTTAGAATGCGCATCGTCTATTTCCGAGGCGGCCCGTTCTTCCACCTGTCACGACGTCAACAACGAGCGGCGAGCTTTCCCATTTTCCGAGGGGTGGGTGTTTCCCGGGGGTTTCATCGGTGCAAAATAATACGTCGGAATCGACCGGATTAAATACAGCAGGACTCATCACAGCGAGGACTACGGCGCATGGTGGATAAATCGTGATTGCGTAATATCGCGCGAGCACGCCGCGAGTAGAATTGCGTAAAAGCAAATATGCAATAGACTACCTGAACACCCCGTATTGTACGATTGTCTCCTTTCTCCTCTCGCCGCGTTTCGCAGGAAATGCCTGCCTTGCATTTCCCGGCATTGTAACCACCCCGTCGGGTTCGGAGTATTGCCAGCCTCAACGTTTGAATTGCATTACCTATTATTGCTTATTGTTCGCCGCTCGCGCTTCGTATGCCGCGCTTCGTCCTCCCATTCCTGTTACACCGACTTCTCCTCCTCCTCCTCCTCCTCCACCTCCGACCACCCCCACACCCCGTTTGGTCAACCCTTTCTTCATACCTTTCGCGCTTCTTCTCTTTCAACCCCGTGCAACGATGCATTCCTTGTCAGCGCCAACACTCGATCCTCCATTAATCCTCTGCAACACGATCCTATTGTCTCACAGAATGCATTCTCAATTTTTAAAAGCACCGTGTGCTTGAACCGTAATTTAACGTCGCTGAACTGATCATATTCGTCCGCTACGATTTGCCATTCAATGTAGAAAAGTGTGAACAAACATCTCTTTCTTTCTCTTTCTCGGTTAATCATAATCTGTCGTGTTTGATTGCATACGTATTTCGAGGCTAAAGATAGAATACATGTCTTAATAATAATAATTGCTGTTATTGTTTTGTGTATATGTATTCAATTGGCGCATGTGAACCCGCTATTTTGCATATACAAAAGTGTGAATAGAAATGTCGAGATCGTTTACGTTTGATTTTGTGCATAGCACCGAGCACACGATGAAATGTATGATCAAATAGAAATGATAGCGACGATATTAGTAACCATTTTTTGGCTGTCCTTTCAAGGGTAATATTCCCTTTATCTTAAAATTTTTCATTATTTCTCGTGAACCAAATTTTGCCAGTCTCTTTAAGGCTGGTTTCTCATTTTGTGATGTTGTAATACCCATTTATCTTACGTTACAAGGGCTACCAAAAATTGTTGCAATACTTTACATGGGTGTGAGAAGGGTTAGTTAACATTTTGGTAAAGAGTATGATAAAAGTCGAGGTTATATTAGACGGTGATTTCCGTTGTAATGTTGTAGATCGTCGGAAGAGTGAGATTTTTTATAGAATTTGTTCCAAATCGTTTGCCAATTTTTTCTGCAATTACAGTGCAAATCAAAATTGTAGTAAAATTTTTAAAAGATTCGAGGTGGTTTAATTAACATTTCGATGCCTAATACCGCGAAAAACGAGGCCTTTAGGGGATGGTTTTCAATAAGTAAGGCTGCGTTGAACCGACGAAGGCTGCGTTCGAAGATCGGTGAGGCAATCGGGGGTTGTAATTGGGAAGAAGGGGAGAAAGCCATTCGGTGCGAAGTTTCCTCAAGACATTAGTTTATAATTCGGCAATCCGGGATCAGTATTTGTTACGATTAGCCGATCCTCCCTCTGTTCCCTCTCCGCTGGAATATCCGATATCCCAGCCGAACCGGAGGATTTCATCCCTTTCTTCACCCCTTCTTCTTCCCAAACTGCCGCGAGAGTTTTCATTAATTTCGCCGATCCTGCCGAACTATTGTCATAGTTACGCACAATTTCAACGCGACAATGTCTCGGCTTACCCGTGGAATTGACGAGCATGCTAGAGCGAGAGGATTGGTAGCTGGCGCGGGGGTGGACGAAGGACACACGTAAGGAACACCTCCAGCATCCACGAGTGGCGTGAGTAAGAAATTTCCTGAGTTCAAAGCACGGCATAGATTATATTTCTCGAGTCATTTACCGCGTGAATTAGATCAATGACATACCGTTCCAACTTCCTCCGTGGAAATTTTGTCGCGGGGGTGGAACTCCACTCGGTCACCCATCCCGTACGCTCTCGTCCTGCTCCGATAAACTCGGCGATTGCTCGTGAACTAACTAATGCGACGACAGACACCTTGATGACTTGGAAATGTCCCGGGCTGCGTGGAAAATCATCGCTTTTTTCCTGCGTTCGTTCAAAATTTTATCTGGTGACATTTCTATCCGTGTGTATGATAGATGAAAGATGAAGAATAAAATTGAGAACTAATGCAATGACAGCCAAACAATGTTTAAAAATTAAGGAACTTGACTTCTATAAAATTTTCTTGGTACGATTAATTTTTGGTGCTGGACGACAGACCGTCCTCATAAAAATGTTATGGAGGTCGATCACTATTTGTTACCGTACGTTCACTATTTGTTACTAAACAACAAGATTGTCTTCACAATATAAAAATATTATATAATAAAAAATTCTAATAATTTCCAGAAAGTACAACGAAAAGGTCGCACTTTTTCAAACATTGTCATAAATTAGTAACTCTTAAAAATAATTTAGATTGTCTTCGTAAGCGGTTACGACCAAAAAGTTAATTAGCCCCCCTTACGATTTCTAATAATTTTAAAACAATTTTCAGTTACCTTGCTAATGCATGAAAAAATTTTTAAGTAATTTGAATTCATGTAAATACAAAATATACTTTGTTAAAGACTATATTGGAGACATATTTCATAATAAGTCTAATATATTTTCTATCCTTGCCCCATAATATCTACAAATCAACGTCATAAATATCGAATCAAACTTCAAATCAATGTTAGCAAATGTATAAATATTTTTTAAGCGATGTTGAACCAAGTAAATGGTGCGGATAATGGTTAGTGCGGAAATTCTGGAGTGCAAGTTATCTGGCCGAAATTAATTCCATGCGTCCAAGGGACAACTAACAAACGACAAGTAATAATCACGGGCTTATGCCACCGATTATCGATCGAACGATCATAAAAATGGCCCCGCCTAATTTCGGCATCGGGTGAACTCGCGTAATATATTCGCGCGTTTCGTTTCATTTATCTGATCTGTGGCCCGTTACGAACCATTCCCGGTAATACCATCAGAAACTGAGCGACGCCGGCGACTTACAGTTCCATTTCGATGCCCCTCCGTCATAATTTCATATATCAAGAATCCGCAAAAGGCTGGGATGCTCTCCCGCGAAAAGATCACATATAGGGACACGGCAGGGCAAGGAGGAGGGTATAATGAGAGCCCGGAAAGCGTCAGCGGCGTCTAATGTCGGAAATTATAGCATATTGCCAATAAAATCCCCGTCCAGGCACCGCCCTTGTACGACCGCCAACTAAACAGGTTTCTCCTGCTCTTCGGGGGCGGCCGGCTTATTGTAACGAACGTCGGAACCACGTTTTGCCATTACACAAGATCACGGTCCCGGGGGAACGGCCGATACACCGATAATACTGCCGGCCGATAATTCGATTACCGTCGGACGTTTTTTTACGTCGCCGCCCTTTGTTCTACCTCGGTGACACGCAGCTTTCCTCCGCACCTTCGATGCTGGCGATTTTTTCCTTTACTGGACACCTTTTAAGAATTAATAAACCGGCGACTGCTAAAGACCGACCAAAAGGTCTTCGGGTATTTCGTTCGTAAATGCCTATTTGTAAACGCAATTTTGGTATTTTATTCAGCGCGTGAACTTTAGCATTTAATACCGAATGTTGTTTTCTTTACGTTCAAGAATATCGTACCAAATTTCTAAATGTTTTCGAACATCATAACATTGTTCCCTGCATGTTACAAATTAAAGGAAAATTTCCTGTGAATATTAAATCATGATCTACTGGTTTCTCGAATATCGAATAAAGTTTTTGAGCAAAGAAATAAAGACTGATATTTAACACTTAAAAGGGAGTGATTTATTAATGTACTTAAAGAATTGGACACTCTTTGTCTCTCAAAGTCTATATTTTAAGAGAAAATCAACATTAGAGTAACACTTAACAGGAAGTAATCTCTTCTAAGACAACTTCTTAATTTACTTAAAGAACTAAACACTCTGTCACTCAAAGTCAATACTCCAGTGTTCTTAATTTAGTTGAAGCATTGAATAACCACTCTATTTCAAAGACGATACGATGGACGAAAATGACGTATTGAAATTATTATTTGAATATTTTACAGCATCTGTATTTGAGAAAACACTAAAGAAATATGTCGATAGTTTGAACTTGTTAAAACGAAAATGTGCGTAACGATACGTAACGAAGGACTGAAATTGTTTCTAAATTGCAATAATGGAACGAAGAAGAAACAGACAGCTGGAACGTGAGTCAAGATAATGGAAATTGTATAGATTCACGAAAATCTGAGACAAATGCGGTTATCTACAGTCTCCTAAATCACTGCATAGTCGTTTAGTCCCACGAAGCACCGTTCTGCAACGTCAGTTTCCGAATCGCTGGTGTTAACGCAATCACGTTTCTTGTCAGGTTGACACGATAGTTCCGTTCTCGCGTTCATTCTTCGAACTTTCATCCAGCCCGACATTCTTCGGAGTCTTCCTGGATCTCGGAAGCCAATACCGCATTTACAGAGCACTTCAGAACAGTCGGTGGTGTCGCTCTGCGTCTGACGCGCGTCTTCTGCGTTCGAGTTGTTCAGTCCTGAACTGCCTTCTGTCTGAAACATTTAAAGCTGTATAGAATGGGATCGCGGAACTTGATTGATGCTGTCGTTACCGTGTCCTAAACATTACAATCTCGATGTTTCAATTTAGATTCAAAACGCAATCTCGTCATTCTGTTTCGGATCAATGTCAATAGTTAAAATTTCAACAAATATATTCAAGTGTTGCATTAAATTCGAAATTAAACTTAACGTTGAATTGAAATTTCAAAGTCAACACCTTCGTTTCATATCTCAAATCTCAAATACCAAATTTGACAAGTTAAATCAAATACAATATTTCAATTCTGTCTTTCAGAGTTCAAATTGTAAACTCGACATTTCAATTTCATAGTTTGAAGTTCAAACTTCAAATTCGCCACTTGAGTCAAAGTTTAGACTTCAACTTATAGCAATGCCGGATTTCAGTTCAGGCTTCAAATTTAAACATTTAATGCCATATTTCAAAGTGCAGATTCCAAATTCAACATCTCGATTCTATATTTCAAACACCGGACTTCAAGTTTAACATTTTAATGGAATGTTTCAAAATTCAACATTTTCTAGTTTAAATTGTAAAGTGTATATCATCGCAAAATAAACGAATGCAAGTTTGAGCTCTACATGATACATATTGGTACTGAGAAAAATCATGTTGAAAGCCCCAAACGTACCGAACTCGACTGCTCCGAACAGTAAGTGCGGTTGCAATCACAGATTTCCTTTTGCTCCGAAGCTTGCGACTCCGAGTATGTTTCGCATAGCTGTGAACTTACCGACCATGATTTCATCGACAAACACTTTACATTTTGCATTCTTTCCCTGCTATGAGATAGCCAAAAAAGCGACCTATTCTTGGAGCTTCTGTTCAAATGGTAGACCTTGGCTTTCCTCAGTTTCCAATTAACAAATTTCGAATATCCTTCCGTAGCATTCGACGCGAAGAATTTCTCTAGTCTCAGTAACTTTTCCTTTTTTTTATCGATTTCAATTCTCAGCTGTCTGACCAGATGTTCATACTTCTTTACCACCAAATCTTTGTGTTTCTTCAGCGAACACAGTTTCCTTTCTTTCTCCTGTAACCTCTGATTTAAACTGTCGATCCATTCCTGTTTCTTTTCGATCTCTCGACTAAGTTGCTTAACCAATTTACGAAACAGCAAACAATCGATGGATATCGCTTTTGAATTCTGCTCCAATTTCTCCGCCATCCTGTTGATGTCCTTCATACCGAGCTCCGCGATCTCGAAATTGCTCCTCCAATTCGATTCGATCTTTCTCAGCACTTCCCTGTACTCTTCGGTAAAATTTTCGTACTCGTCGATCGTGTATTGCTGCATCTTTTTCAGCTTCTCATTATTACTTGCAATCTCCAAACTCTTCTCCGACAATTCCGTCTGCAGGCTCTTGATTTTTGTTGCATACTCGGCGATGCGCTTCGTCCAAGTCTCCAACTCTTTCGGAATTGCTGATATTTGAATCTCGTGTGATCCCTGGAGCGGAGAAAATAATGGTGCAACTATAGCGGTACTCAAACTTAGGTTCCTGTGCAAACCGAACCTGTGTAGAACTATGTATAATTTATAAAAAAATTGCAATTCATTTAGTTCGGTTAAATTTTGTTTTGCAGTCAAACTAAGAAAGGAATTTCTCTTTTCACATAGGTCTCACAATTAATTTCATAGATACTAAAATATTCTAGATCATCTAATTCTTTTTCCTCAAAGTACTTTTTGTAATGAATTTAAATAGATACTAGAACTTTCTCGATTAATTAAATTTTCTTGACTACAAAGTACTAAAATATTTTTCTTGTCAGTGAGCTCTTTTAAAATCTATTATTTTCTGTATTAAGTAAATCTTTTTCATAAAGTATTTCAACCATCTTTTCAGAACTACTTAAATTTATTAGGCCATCCGAATAATCCCTTTCATAATTTTCGTTTAAAATAAATCAAATGCTTCTTAAACGTCACACCACGAATTCCTACCTTGTTGGCCGCTGTCGGACAGTCTTTCTTAGCATCGTTCGCATCCAGAATCCCATTGACAGTCTCGACAGCAGCCTTGAAAGAGTCCAACTGTTGCGACAGCTCCACGACGCACGCCTTTTCTTCGGAATACTGCGCCTCCAGCTTCTCATAATCGATCTTCAGCTGCTCCATCCGTTGCTCCATCGTGCCAAAGTCATCCTCGAGCGTCTGCGTGTACTGTTCCTTGACTTCCTGGACCGGAGGACTATCACCGACACCCGTCGATCCCCGACTCCTGTGGCTGGATTCGATGCCGGAGTCCTCTTTTGCGCTGCCGTCGCTGAACCTGAGGATCATGTCTGCCTCTGAATCATCCGGGGGCATCTTCCTCGAGGTCATCATGCTCTCATAATCAAAGTAACGGTCTAACTTGGTGTCCACGTGTGCTTGTGTCGTCAATTCCGGTGTAGAGACGTCTTCGCTGCAGAAGAAGTCGCTCACCGACGACGAAGAGAATCCACGAAGCTTGTTACAGCTCGACATGGACTCCTTCAGCAACTGCAGTTGAGACTTCAGGCTATCTACCAGAGTCCTGGTTTCATGCAGCTGGTTCTCGAGAACCTTTGACAGGATCTGGGCCTCCCGCAGCTCCTCTTCCTTTTTCGAAGATTCGGCGATCAGTGTGACACAATTTTCGTTCGACTCGTTCAAGTTCTTTTCCAGAGTCTCGATGTTTTTTTTCTTCCTGTCGAACAACAGCTTCAGCTTTTCGACGACCCTGCACAGATCGAACTTCTCGTGCTGGACGTCCTTGAACAATTCAGGGAAGAATCTCTGCAAGGAGCCACGCAGATCTTTCAGCTCTTCCTTAAGCAAGGACAGCTCGAAGCTGCTGCTGAGCTTGTCGCTGCTCAGCATCTCGTTCTCCTTCTTCAGGTTCTTCACCGTCTCTTTCATCAGAACCACTTTCGAGGTGACCAGCGCGTTCTCCGTCTCCAGTTCATCGTAAAACGACAACGATTCTTCGTTGTCGCCGCTATCGCGTCTCTTCCGCTTCTTGCTCCGCATTATGCTGTCGATTCGTTCTCTGTAGAACGTCTCTGCCTGACTCACAGACTTCTTCAACAAGGCCCTGCTCTCGTCCTCGATATCCTGCACGCGTTTCTTCCAGGAAGCCTCTATCTCCTCGATCACAATCGAATATTGATTGACCAGTTCGTCTCTGATTTCTAGTTCTCGGTTTAAGCGGTCGCACTTCATGTTTTCTAGCGTCTCTATCAGCTTATCATTCTCCTCTTGCAATCGCCTATTATTCCTGAAGCATTCCGATCGAGAATTCTTCAGATCCTTCAATTCTTCGAATAAATCGTCATTACGACGTTGAAGTGCCTCGTATTCTTCAACCGTGATAGCTTTCCTTGGCGTTCCGCCGATGATCGGCATCAGATAGGCTTTCAGACTTCTCGGTGTCAACTCCGACAACTGTCCACGTTTTGAATCTGATTCTATCTTTCTCACGATCACAGAGTTGTTCAAGATCCCCAACGTTTCAGAAAAGAACTGATCGGCTGTGTCGATGGTGACGATGAAGGTGAGGTTCTCCTTGCCTGTCAGCGCTTTCTGGAGGACTCTCGTCAACTTCGACTCGCGAAACGGTCCAACAGCCTGATCGCCATTCGAGTAACTGTCCCGAACACTTTTCAAACATCTCCCGAAGACCAGCAGGCTGTTCTTTATGCTTTTGGACTCTGTAGAAGCGACAACATCTTCTCTGCTGCTTCTGCAGCGACTTGTGCCAGCCACGTCGCAGAATGTTAGTGTGCTTACCTGAAAAAGTGAGAACGATATGATTTAGACAGACTACGGAAATTATTCAATCAATTAATTCATATCTCTTGCAATTAATGCAGATAATGTTAATTGATTGAAACATAACTGACCGCTACTTCGTTCTTGGCGTTCTCCTTCTGGTACCTCAGCAACCTGATCACGAAGAACGTGTGTGACCTAGAGCTTGTCTCATTGGATCCGATCACTGACACTGTCATTCTAGACTGCGCAAGGATCAGCAGTTGACAGGCCTCTAATCCTGTAGTCACATTGACAAAATTCAAGCCTTTCACGTACGTGGAGCCATCCCTGCGAGTGCTCAGCTTCAAGGATCTTCTGGCTTGATGATCGACAGCCAGGAGATCGTATACGTTGTCATTGTAGATCTCAGTTATTGACAACCAAACGGAAAAGATCCCGTCACTGCCAAACGGCTCCCTCTCTTCGATCTCTACGATCTCAGGCACAGAGTTATCCAAAGATAATCTAGCCTGAGCGTATTCTTCTTTTTCGATGACGTCAGGGTTGATCAATTTGAGCTTGTTCCGAATCTCTTCAGACTTTTCTTCGTTGTTCAAACTGACTACTTGATTGTCGTCTGTGATCTTGTACCAAGGTACAAGGCTACAGTTTATTGCTGAGAAAATGAACTCGATGGACCGAGGGATGATCCCAGGCCAATCTGGTGTTCCGTATAAGGTATACGTCTTCCCAGAGTCGGAAGCTCCGTAAGCTATGATCGAGGAACTCTGACCAGAGAGAAGATTTATAACTCGCTGACGAGTGCACTGATCGAAGACTTCGGTCTGCGAAGAATGGGGCTCGAAGATCTTCTTGAAAATGAATTTTCTCTCCACGCTGTCGCCTTTTTTAACGATCATGGATGTCGAGTTCAGGACACTATAATTTTCTTCAGCATCCACGTGGGATTTTGGCTTTATTCGGAGGTACACGTTGCTCAACGGCGAATTTTGAAGCGAGTATCTTAATCTCGCGGATTCTTGAGCTGTCATAATTTTTTAGAAATTGACGAAAAGCGTTTGAGAGATTTTTCGTGGTTCGGGGGAACGAGGAACGAATTAATGATTGCTTTTCGAGCTCAAGATCGAATAGGATTGCGAAGCTCGACGAGGATCCCTATTTTTGGCCATTTTCCGCTACTACACCTTTTGGTTAGGTTATTTGGAATGTCAACGATGGAAAATGAAGGTGTGACATAAAGTATCTGTCTATATAGTTGGCAATGATTTGACAGAAAGGGAGACACTTCATGTTATCGCAGAGTATACATTCAGAAAAAAAATAGTTATCATGTTGGTCAAATATAATGGAACAGTTTAACAAGGAAACATTAGAATAGTTTGTAATACTTTGGATAACAAAGATGACAATAGAGAATGCAAAGAAATTCTTCACATCGTTTTAGTATTAAATTTTCTCAGTCTGTGGCTAGTAAAAAAAGCAACGTACTTCTGCTTATATAAACATTGAGATTGTTGGTGTAGCAGCCAAGATGTTAATTAGATAAATTTAGAGGAGCATAGAACAAACAGAGATACTACAGGCGTCCAAGAAGTACATGAGTTCGATAAAAAAAAATGAGACCAGCACATTTAAATCCACAATTACAAAAGAAAATCTCTATTAAAGTGAAATAATATGAACAAACATATAATATTTATAATCATTCATAAATTCTATTTGAAAATTCCTAATTTCGTGCACCTTTTTATGAAACACAGTTGCAAACAATTGCATTAATTCATTATCAAGTAGTTTTGTTCTCGCAGATACGAATTAAATCATTTTGGCCAGCTTTCGAGGCGAAATATTCGACTGTGCGGCGTCCAAAAAAGAGGCAGCCGGTTAAAGGAAGATGAGCGAAAGTCGGTGGCCGCGGCGCGGGTGTCTCGAAATATCTTCAAAGTCGGCGTCCGTCGGCAATTTATATGCGTGTCGTTCGGTCCATTAAACGCAGCCAATCAAAGAGGAAGCTAATAGCCGAGCCGACCACGGTTCGAGATGGGCCGCGCGGTCCACGAAACCCCCTTGCCGTAATCTCGGCATCGGAATCGTATTGCGAGCACAAGTCGGCCACTGTGCGCTACTAGGCTGACTAGCGAAGGGGCCTGCGAAACGGTGGGATCGCCGGTGCCTTTCAACCCACAATCGACCCCTTGTATCGACAGCCCCAACCCGCCGAGGCCCTCCTTCTGCACGCGTTCAACGCCGGCGATTCCGCCTTTTCGTTTTCGCCGCTTCTCCGATCCGTATCAAGCCTCATCGCACACACGCTCTTCCCCTTTCACCATTCCGCGGCTTTCCGCGCGGAGGCATTTCCTACCGACCGACACAGCCGTCGCTGCTCCCTACCGAAACCGTTCGATCATTATACCGGCGACGATTTTTTCATCAGCCAGCAACGGTGTCCGCAAAAATTCTGTGTAATCCGAGCTGTTCGCAAAGTGGAGCTGGAAAATGATGAATTCGTTCGAGGAGACACGTAGGAGCTATCTGACTTTATAGAGAAAAGTTTGGCAAACTTTTATGCAGTTGTATTCCAGTTTTCAGTCCACTCGTTAAAAAAGAATGAATAAACCGGCGACTAACTAAACTAGAAAGGCTCGATCAAAGAGTCTTCGGATGTTTCGTTCGTTAATGTTTACTTGTAAGTGAGGCAAGTTTGGTATTTTATTCAGTGACTTAATTTTGGTATTTTATTCAGTGACTTTACTTTAGCATTTTATTCGGCGATTTAATTTACTTTACGAATGTTGCACTCTTTGAGATTTTAGATTTAAATAAATTTGTAATTAATAGAAAGTGGACTCTGGATAGAAACTGCTTTGGGCAGTTTATATAATAATTTAGATATTTGTTAAAATGTACTTTTGAAGTTATTTCTACTGAACACATTAATTTTGTTCGCTAAATCACTAGACTTTTTAATATATCAGATTTTTTCAATGACCAATAAGTGAGCTGATACATTTAATTCAGCTGTATTTACAATGTGTACAATTTATTGAATTATTTCCGTCACAGACGATCAAGAGTCCAATTTGTCTATAATGATACTAATTTTCAATTGGACTTATTTCGACATTGGTAAATATTGACAGACAATATGTAACATTGTTAAATGTTACAGAACAAATGAACAATAATAACGGAAACAGAAAATTCTGTGGCTAGTTTCGTTCGTCATTGTTGCAAGTAGAAGCAGCCGACAGTGGACAGACACGTAGAACAGACCTGGTCAGAAGCATTGGCTTGCAGGATATTTTCAATTGCGTTTTGTGAAAAAATGAAGCTGCGTGTGACAGTAAATTATTCGATAAACATAGCAAGGTTTTTCAAGTCTCCAATAAATTACTCTTTAAAAGGCAAAATATTTGTTTAGTTGGATTCTATTCATGTTCCCAGTCATTCCTATTATTGTTTCTTAACGCTCAATGATATTAATTGAGTAAATGTTTAATGTGTGTATGACTAATAGGAATTATTTCACCGTCAAACAAAGAATTACTTTTGGCTGTTTCAACCAGACAATATTGTAAGAAAATTATCCCCAATCTCCATTGCGTTAGTATATTACTTACCAAGGAATATAAAAAAAAATAATCCTAATACTTTAATTTATTATCACACTGAATTACCAATCGATACACCACAGTTCGAATTAAATCGACGCGAAAGAATATTTCATAAACCTAACGCAGAGCAAGTGCTACATTCTCGACTAATTGTCTATCGGTGTCCAGGATTTTTTACTCGCCGCAGGTCACTTAATGCACGGTACCATTAAAGCACCGGCCGCCCCATAAAATAGTCCCATAATATTTCGGTAAACAGAGAAGTTACAGGGACGGGGATTGAAGATGAAATTCATGATCCGATTATTATAACCAGTGTTCGAGCAAGATTCGGGCAGTAGCCTTTACGCAGCAGGCCTTTGGAATCACGGACACACAGCGCCGTTCCGTTCTCGAGCGCCATTAAAGGCGCTATAAAAGAAGTGGCCTGACGGCGGCGAACGAGTCCCGATGGCGAGAGTGCCGAGCGAAATTTGTCAGTATTAAATAAATAACCCATAAACGTGGAACATCAATCCGCCGCGGGAGCATTAACGCCCGATATAAGGGAGCGAGGCAACGGCTGTTATTTTTCATACACAGGCAACCCGTCTAATATACGATCCCCGGGCCCTGGGATACGTAGCCTAGCCAGACCAGGAGCATTTCTTTTTTCGTGTTTTCTCGCCACCCATTCCCTTTCCGTCTTCTTTGAGGCTTTTACGAGCTACAGGATCAAGAGCCGTGCACCGTAGATCACAACTGATGTATCTATTATGACGGAAACGCTACGGTTACGCTTACGCCAAATCGATCCTTTGCGCGCGGTTTTAATGGCTGCTGGACACTTCTCGTAAAAATCTCGTCAGTCTCCAATAACTTATTCCGTGGGACGAGGATAGACATGTTTAGTGTTGCAGGGTTTACTGCATTGCGAATCGTTGTTCTTTTATGGTGGACAGAAACGTGTAAAATACTGGAGAACGTATACAAGCTGAACAAAATGATCTTGAATATTTTACTCGTCCACGATAATGTGAACAATCGTCGAAGTGAAATTCTGTTTGGTTTGAAGGAGAAAGAGGAGATTTTATGGTCACTTTCGAGCGAAATTATCTCAGAACTAGCCACGTCGCGACGCGACCATCAAAGGGGAAAGTAAAAAAGAACGCACAATATATATAGCAGAACGAATCTTTCCACAATCATGACTTATACAGCTAATTTTCCAAGTATTTATAGTTTGTATACATTCGTTGTAAAGTTAGTTCTGTAATGTCACTTATTTAAAGCACTATCAGAAGTGATTCAATTTATTTTCTTCCATTATCGATTTATATTTAGAACACGCAAGATAATTAACAAAGTTAAGAATATAAATTGACGGTGATCCCTGGTCCGTAGACAAATAAAAAACGGTAAAAACATTTCAAGAATTTACAAATAGTATTATTTGTTACAACTTTCTTAAAATGATTAAGATACTGAATAAATATCTATCTAGCCCCTGTATCTTGTAATCACTGCAGACGGTTTTTATTTTGCATAAAAATCCACGCTCTGGCGATCACACGCCAATCCTGCAATTATTTAGAATACGTCAGCAATTAAGCTGTTCCTTCGTTGATCAAGAGACTCGAATGTTTGCAATACCCTAATCCGGGAGGTCGATACAGGCGTATTTGCGATTCCATGCCGCGGACCCATCGGCCACTGATCCCTCAGGAGAGGATATCCGAAGATTATCAATCTTAAAGCCCGGTGACTTCCCTGCGGCGTTAGGTAGTGGCCTGAATCCGCGGGAAGACACACCGGGCTCTCCTCAAGGAGCTTCGGCGTTCCGCTTCCGAGATATTAGATTTATCCATTTGTTTGCCGAAAGTCTCATAAATATAAGCTCCCTTTGACAGCGTCCCACGGGTCTTATCTGGCAGCGTGATCTCGCGTGGGCGGCCGGGAAGATGAGACGAGAGGCGCTAAGATAGAGGAAAAAGGGGGACGACGCTGTCTTCCTCGGATCGGAGCGGAATCGATCCGAGGTTCGTCGCACTGCCATCCCGGGTTCCATGGGACACCATCAGTATTCCCAATTAACGGGCTCCTTTCGCTGGGATTATGGAACAGCCGCCACCGTCGAGCCCGGGCTACGTTTCTAAATATGATGATCGTAAAAGGAGACATTACCATTCGATGAGACGAACAAGTCTTTTCGGAGAGCCCCGGGGAGGAGGTGATATTGCGCGGGCGAAATTGATGCCGGCGACCCTGTTGGGGTAGAAATTTTACGGATCGCTGTAATCTAAAGGGAATAATTAATGTCCCGTTGCCGTACGCTCGCGAGACGTCGGGATGTTGCCTCGGTTTTTATAGATTATTGCTTGCCGATGTTGAGATGCTTGGGACTGTTGTGAACGATGACTGATGAAGGCAGAACCTAAGAGATCGTTTCTTCTGAACTGACTGTAAAGTAACTTACAATTACGTTTCCATAGGTTTCGGGCCTTTGTGCAAAATGAAAATTGTTTACATCGATTGTAGAAAACAGGGGCTTATAAAAAATGTAGTGCTTCCCTTAACGATTTGTACGAGTTTAGAATAAGGTAAT